ACGGCGCCCACCGAGATCTACACGACAAAAAAATTGAAACCAATTTCTAAATAGTGAATGTTGAGAATACATGTAATATAAAAGGTTTAATGATCATATACCTTCAGAGTAAAATCTTTTATATTGTTATTTGATAGAAAGTCATCATTTTTATGATTTTTAAAATAGTTATTGAATAAGTCAATAAATTTATCATGCATAGTGAGTTAGGATTGAGTGTCAATATGAAACTGGTTTCACTTTGCCCTGTCAGTGTATAGTATTTTTCCTTTTAACATATTAACATAAAGTATCATTGTGTATAGAATGCAAGAACAAAGGATGATTATGTATATTATACTTACAATAGGTTTCCCAGTGACAACTGCCGGTGAATGCCCATGAAACTTTGAGTACTCATCAAGAATCCAAGCCATTGTCTGTGAAATAGTAAACAATAGATGAAAGTGGTAGTTGTTGGTTTACATAAGAAAAATGGACACACCAGAAAGTGAGGGAATGAAATGAGAACCTGTGCATTAGTTCCCATATCAGGGGCAGGAACATCCCTCTGAATGCCAATGAGATCATGAATCTTTTGGGTGAAGACACGAGTGAGACGCTCCAACTCGCTAATGCTGAGGTCCCTCGGGTTGCACCCAATTCCACCCTTTGCTCCTCCATAAGGAATGTCTGCTACCGCTGTCTTCCATGTCATTAACTGAGCTAGAGCATTCACTTCATCAGGGTCAACCTGACACCAACAACACCACACAATATCACTCTTCTGTTCAATACAATGATATGTTCAAAAACAAATAGTTTTACATTTATAACTGTAACTTAGCATGCAAACGTAGAGAAACCAGAAACATGAATCACAACAATAGATACAACTACTAGATGACAAATGACCTTTTTGGATAAATTTATCGATAATCACTGGTAGAGGAAAAAAATAAGTATGTAATAAAAATTAAGTTTGTAGGTTCAGTTAAAATTAACTTTTTTTTCTTTCTTTTCCATACCGCAAACATCCTCTACGAGAGGGAATTAACTTGGTTTAAATGTAGATTTTGTTCAATTTTATAATTTTTCGAATTTTGTCGCTTAATTTTTCGTCCATTATGTTTCTTATATAAAAAAATCGTGATTTTAAAATTTTTTGTACATAATTAAGGCTAAAATGGATAACAAAATTTTGTACACCAAGTGAGGTTATGTTCTTTATTATTAGTATCAATGAAAAAAATTATTTTTTATATACATCCAATAAAAATTCATTTTACCATTACATTACATTAATAAATAAGATTGTGATGATATAGTATCTACTTATCTCCACACAAACAAAGTTTTATATCAGTATTCCATACATATAAATTAAATTCTAAAATGATTATTAGGGATTCTGGCTAATAGTTATTTCAACAAAACTTGGCACCGAACAAGGAAAGCAAGTGCCCCCGTGGACTGATTTATTTGTATTGAATATACATCTTCAATATCCCATAGTTATCCCTTATCTATTAAATGAGGAAAGATGGGACATTTATATTATTTAAGAAAAATATTAAATGCATTTAATTATTTAGCATTGAATGTTTATATTTTAAAAGAAAATATTAAATACATTTAATTATTCTTTATAACAAAACTTAATAAAATTAGAAGGAAAATAGAGAATAATTTTTAATTCTCTAATATATTTTTACAAACATCCCTACTTAGTAAATAAATAAATAAATAGTTATATTTCATACTAGAATGATATTAGATATAAACACATTTTTATTAATTATTTAATATTTACTTTATATTAACATATTAAAATGAAGACTTAAATATATTTTTAGATTTTATGAGAGGACTAAATTTTGATTTTAGTTTTTATAAAAAAAATTTATTTTATTTTTATTTTTCTAAAATTTGAAAATGTTTTAAATTCTCACTATTATGTGGATCATTTTAATTACTTATTTATTTATTAAAAAGTTAATTAATTATTTTAAATAGAATCGACAAATTTATGTGATACTTTTTTAGTATTTGACACTTCTAAAAAAATTTATAAACCTTTTCAAATGTTATTTATATACTTTAAAATGATATTAGCACAAAAAAATAATGACTAAATTTTAAAGGATGAAAATTAAAGAAATTTTTTTATAAAAATTAAAACCAATTTTTATTCATTTTACAAAGATAAAAAATAATGGTTACAAATTTTTAAAAGATGAAAAATAATTTTTTTTTACAAAAATCAAAATCAGTACTCACTCATTTTAAAGGATTAAAAATATATTTAAATTAAAAAAAAATATAAAGATAAATATCCTCTCAAAAAAATATAAAGATAAATATGACTCTTTTATCTTTTAAAGTAATGCATGCTTTTTAGAAACAACACTAATTAAAAAAAAATTATTATGAGAAATGACTTTGACACAAATTTATTTACACAAATTAAATAAGATAAAAATATATTAATGCATCATAAAAATAATTAGTAATTTTTAAATTTCATAAAACAATAAGTGTTTTAAATTTCATAAAATAATTAATATATATATTAACACCACAAAATATTAAATATAAGATGATTAAAAAAGTAAATTATATAAGACCTTATATATTTTATTAATAATAATCACAAATAATATTTTTATTCTAATTAATGTTACTATCTTTAAAATATCTTTTATTTAATTAAACAAATTAATAACTTTTTTTTTCTTAATGAAGGGTGATATATAAATTTTTTTTAAATAAATAACTAAATATTATTAATTATAACCACTAGTAGTTAAGTATGGAGGAGTTGAAGTAGTTAGAAATATGAGATCTAGATTCAATTTTCATTACAATCATCTTTGTAATCTTTCTTATCTTTGTCAAACAAAAATATTATTAATACTTTTCTTTATACATAAATTAGTTAATTTTATCAGTCAAAAAGATAGAAGGTATATATCTTAAAAAATATTATTTTTTAAATTCAAAAGTAATGATACTTGTAAAATAAAATTTTCTATTTAAAGAGAGAAAAACATGAAATGTAATAAAAATAAATGACACTGCGTAAAATAATTTATTCAACATACTTTTATTTTTATCTTTATTCATCACATAACTTGTTATATTTTATAACTATATATACATATGCATGTAGAGAGATCGGAAAAAAATATTATTATAAAAATTATTCTACATGTATTATCACTTAATTTAAAAATATTTCTTGTGATTATCCTAATAATTATTTTATTTACCTGTACCTTATTTTTATGTATTATCTCTTTAAAGAGTTTAGAATAATTTTTTTATTCTAATTTTAGTTTGCCTTTATTATTAGAAATTTGGAAGAAAGATAAAAAATTTAAAAATATTTTTAGCGTAATATCTAAATTATTTTTACTTATATTTCTAAATTTAAAATAATAAGGTACAAAGGAAAATGATTTTTAAATTTTTTTCCTCTTTTTATAATATAAACAAAAAAAAGAAAAAGAGTTACCTTTTCTTCCTTTCATTAATTTTTTTTTTCTCTTTCTTTCGATGAAACAAGATTTTTAATTTCTCATTTTTTCTTCTTTGAACCTGAATATAATTTTTTTTACATTATTAATTAATAAATCGTGTTCCTTTGTATATTTTAAGATGATAATTAGAAAAAATAGAAAAACAAAAACAAAATGGTAAGTGGAAAGGAAAGGAAAAATGGTGCATGCAGAAGTAAACCTCCGGGTGATAACGGATTCCGCCTTTCATAGGTCCACGAGCGTTGTCGTGTTGGATCCTGAAACCAATATACGAAACCAGCGTTCCGTCATCTTTTGGGATCGTACATTCAACCTGCACACAAATCATAAAATTGAATAAAATTAAAAAGAGAGATAAAATACAAGACTAAGATACATAGATACCTTGATCTCCCTGAAAGGAATGAGAAGACTCTTCTCAATCTTAGTGTCCAAACCTAGAATGCGAGCTGCTCGACGGAAGTTACGGTTGGTGGCAGCGAGAGCATTCATGGCGACCAAGTATTGAGAGAAAATAAGTGAGAGTGAGGAGTTGAGAGGATAGAGAGAGTTAAGTAATAAATAGTAAAATTGTGTGTGTCTTTGTATGGGAGAGCGAAGGATTAGATTAGAATGCAATCCGTGTGTAGCCAAGTATGCAGCGGCTACACCTATGGATATGGATCAGATTGAACGCAAACGTTCTTGAAGAAGGAGCCAGCGAAGCAATTGGTCCGCTAGCTACTCCTCTCTCACCGGATTTAATTATTGACTCTGCTGTTTTTTTTAATTCATTTAATTTTTCTATTCTACTTTTTTTTAATTAAATAATACAAAAAATAATTATAAATATTTTAAAGATTAATCATAAAATTTAGTTTTTGTTGTATGTGTCGTAAATTTTTAATTTGGTGTTTGTAGATAAAAAATTATTAAATTGATTTTTATATTTATTAAATGTTATTAATTTGATCTCTTATATTATTAATGTTATTACATATTGTTATTTTGATTCGTTTATGTATAATACATTTTTAATTTAGTCCCTATACATTAGTATTTTTTTAATTTGATCCCTAGATATAAAGGTTAAATAATTAAGAATATGTTGATCATGTAAGGGACCGAGTTAAGAATATACTGCACATGTAAGGATTAAATTAAGAATATATATGAGAGTTATCAATTCCTGAGACATTTACAAGCATAAGATTCATTTAATAAATTTTTATGTACAAATATCAAATTAAGAATTCACAACATATATATAAATTAAATGATGGGGTTATTTTATGATATTTGGACCTAAGCCTCTCTTTCATTGAAGTATGTTAGTTTATGGTATTTGAGTTTATAGTATTTGTCTGAGGGGATATTTTATCAGTGTTATTTTTGTTATTTTTTATAAGGTTATTACACAAACATACTCCACAACGATATTGTCTGCTTTAGATCTAAGCCCTCACGATTTTTCTTTTAGTCATCACCCAAAAGACCTATCTTTCATTGAAATATTTTTGTGTTATATAAGTTGTTATTTCTTATCTTATTTTATCGATGTGGGACTTGTTTGTATCCCAACACTAAATATATTATATGTTCACATATTTTAAAATGTTTTTAATTAAAAAAAAGTCATAAAAATGATTAAATGTATACACTCAACAATCTTTTAATGTATAAATAATATATTTATTTTTTATTTATCAAATTTACAATAACAACATCAAAGTTGGAACATAAAATTTTGTGCATAATATTTTAATCTCTCAATCATGAGATCAATCCTAGTAATACTAATGTTTAAACAATATAAATTATTACTTAAGTTAGCATATGAAATTTAAAAGGAAAAAATATTTAAGTAATAAAATACTTGGATTATCTCATCAAATTTGAAATTTTTTTTTTAAATAATTTAATTAAGTTAATTTAATTTAATAAGTTAATTAAGTTAATTTAATTTTCATTCTTTTAATTACATAATTTGATCCTTCCATTCATTTAATTTGATCTTTATTATTAAAATTATTAATGTGATTTCTTAATTTCCTAAAAATGATACAATGTGATTCGTTATTTTATAATTTACACCTTTAATAATTTGTATATAATGTTCTTACTAATTATAAAAAAATTCATGAAATTAAAAAATTATTTAAAAATTTATCACATTATTTCATGCATATAATATGATTTACAAAATATATATAAATTAAATATTCGATGTTAGAAAATACTATATCAAAAAGTCCAAATTTTATTAACTATAACGTATAATCATGAGTGTAATTCATTAGTTGAATTAATTTAATTTATATTTTACAGAAATTTATTGTGTGGATGCGTGCATTGATTTTTTTTTCTTCATTTTTTTTATAATAAATATTAAAATTATTTAAATTAAGATAATACAATCATATTTAATCTTTATTATTAATTTTAAAATTATGTAAATTATAATATTTATATTTTTATAAATTTTTTGATTTATATATATATTATATATATATATATATATATATATATATATCATAAAATATAAATATCATTATCATATCTTACTTTTGTAAACATAATAGTTATATCTAATTTTGTTTAAATATGTGATTTGATTATTTTTTAAAATTTTAATTTATAAAAATTATTTTTTTGTAATACATTATAAATTATCAATTATATACTTATATTTTATATAAGTTATTATTTATTTATATTAAATAAATATATTTAAAATAAATATGTATAATAAAATAAAATTATTAATTCTAAAATACTTGATTAAATAAATTTATTGTGGAAAAATAAAATAAAACTTCACTATCAATTTAGAATGAATTTAGATTTATTAATTATACATAGTTATATATTATAAATAAGAATGTGATTTTTTTATTTTCACAACAAATATTAAAATCATTTAAATTAATATGAATAGTCTAAATAATTTAAATACTTTAATTGAATATTGGTGAAGCGATGAATGCTAAAGGCAAGCAGGCAACGTGCTAAATAAGGATAGCAATGGGGCTCCATGAGAGCGGGTAATAGTAAACTCGCTGAATGAAAATTGGTCTCATACCCACCCCATATCTGCACGGGTATCCATGAATTTCTTGAATACCCACAGATATCCATGGATATTTATAAAAATTTTAAGAAATTAAAAAAATTATATTACAGATAATTTTGTTTATATTTCAATGTCATTGAAATATTAAAAATAAAAATTCAATGTTAATTTTGAATTTTTGTTTAATGTTAATTTTGTTGAAATAATAATAAAAATTCAAGATAATCAATAACTTAAAATACATCAATTTCACAAGTAAGTTAAAGTTTCATCACAAAACTACAATAATTCAATCTTATAATTCCAAATGAAAGTAAACAACTTAAAATACATAAATCTTAGTCCAATCAAAGCTAGAAAATTAATCAAATTACATCCAACATAATTTTATAACATGCTTAACACATGTCGGTAACTTCATCAACCTCACTTTTGTAGGAAAATAAGATGAGAGAATGTAGTTTTAGGGTTATGTAGTACAAGGATAATTAGGATATTTAAGAAATAATATTAAACGGGTACCCGCGGGTATGGATATCATCATATTTGCCCCCGTCCCATTTATAAACGGGTAAAAAATTATTCGTCCCCATTATTCTCGGGTATCCAATTAGTCTATCCATTTATTATCCGTAACGGATTTTATCCACAGATACTCGCGGATGCATGTATTTTTGTCATCCCTAATGCTAAAGAGCTAGTTACTTGTTATCAACCCAATATTATGAATAGGGATGAAAATAAGTAAGACCTAAAATAGAGGTCTATGACCTAATCTCTTTAAAGTCTGACATAACTTATTTAATAAAAAAAAGTCAAGTTTAGATTTTTTAAAAAATTTATTGAGTAAATTATATTTTAAAAATGAATCTATTGGTTTTAAAAAAATAAGTTTATTTATCTAACTAACATTAATAATTTAAATAAGCTTTTAAATAAGCTAATAGGTCATATTATATTTTAAAAACGTCAAATCAAACTTATAAAAAAATTTATAATAAATAATAAGTTAGACTTATGCTTTAATTTTACAGAACAAACTTGATCTATATATTTAAAATTTGGCTTAACCTAACTTATTCTCATCCTTGGTCGTGAGGAGTTGTGGTATCATCTGGCGAACATTCATACCCGTATTCATACTCCCTGGTTCCTTTTAGGAGATTTTAACAAAGTTATCTCATCAACTGAGATTAAAGGTGGTGCCTTTTCTTTGAGGCAGTGGCAAGAACATTAAGACCACTGCTTAGGCCCCTTAAAAAAAAAAAAAAATATATATATATATATATATAGTAAATTAATTTAAAAAAATATTATTTATTTAAAAAAATTTATAGAAAAAAAAGTAATTTAATTTTTCTTTAAATTTAAAATAAAAAAGACATTAAAATGAATATACTAATTGAATTTCATAAAAATAGTATTATTTGTAAAACATATTTTGATAGATTTGATGGTGATAAAATCACACATTATTTAAAGATTAATATTTTGTTCTCGTTAAAAATGTTTTTTATTATTATTTTGTGCATATATTAAATAATTTTATTTTCTTATACTCATAATATATTTTTATCAAATTTTAAAATATAAAATTAAATTAATTTTTTTTACATCAATTCTAATATTAGCACTCAATATGGATATTTTCTTTCCAATAACACAGTCTATTTTATATACATGATATTCTCCTAGATATATTGGTTAAGGGACACAAGCCACCAATACTGTGTCAATCAATGTTGGTTAGTAATCATTAATTTGATATGAGTAGTATTGACTTGGGGGTATACTGAATTATGATTTTAAAGGATTTTTTTAGTTGAAAAAAGTCTTGTGAATTTTAAAAGACTTTGTAAGATTTTCATGACTTTTAAGACTTTGTAGGATTCTGCAAGACTTTAAATCAAAATTTTAATGGATTTTGCAAGACTTTTAAGTCAGGATTTTAATGGATTCTGCAGGACTTTGTGTACTTTGTAGAATTTCATGAATTTTTGACTTACGATAAAAGTTCAAGATTTTTTTTCATACATTCAAATTTAAAAAGAGTAAAAGACAAAAATAATAAAAAAAAACAACAATATATGGATAAATAATAATAATAATTCTTTGTAATATCATGTCCTCCTAAATAACATTCACCAACATATCCATAGCTATACTAGTCTTCCAAACATTAGCGTCTTCTCGCTCTTGCTCTTGAGTTTGAATAATAGGCCCAAAAGTATGATCTTCATTAACCGGCCGGTAATGTTGAAGATGAAGGTTTGTATATTGGTTCAATTAAAATTTCATTAGAATGACATTTTTTACGTTATTAACACAAGTTCTACTTGTGTCGTAAATAAAAATTAAGGTGGTGACTTAAAAATTGTGAATCTTGATTTAAAAATACCAATTATTCTCTCAATCACATTCCTTAAAGATGCATGACAAAAATTGAACAATTCTTTCTCATTCTCAAGGTCATTACCTTGACCTGCAAAATCTCTCATTTTCCCTTTTCTTTCTCTTTTCCCTTTCCTTTATTATTTCCTTGTGAATCTCTAATTTGAATTACTAAAACAACATATGCCAAAAACTAGTTACACAAATAATTATAGATAAGAATACATATTAAAT